ACGTATGTACACAAGTGCAGTAGTCATTTGAAGGATGCCTGGAAAGACAGGAAATGTTTGGACGGACGTATTTGGAACGCGCTGTACTCGACGGCCGACATGGAAAAGCAGCTTCGAAATGGGGTGATACGAGAGAGACAGAAAGAGAAAGAGAAAGAGAGAAAGAGAGAGAGAGAGAGAGAGAGAAGACTGGGGTGGTTCCAAAGGGAATGAATGAGAAAGGGAAATATTTCTGTCTCTGTTCTTTTTCCCATTTCTCGTTTCCTTTTTACATTTTCCTGAATCTATCTTTTTCTTTTCACATGGTTTTTTTCTCCCCCACCCCTTCCCACATACACACACACACACACACACACACATATCCACACATACGTTAAGGGATTCTCTTTTACCCTTTTCTGAAGGTTTTCCTAGCTCGCCACAAACGGACAAGCCGTTGGTAGTTGGCACCCCTTGCAAGTATTGTCGGTTTCAGACACCATACCTGTGCTCTGATCTTATGGGAAATCCATACTAGCCCTTATAACTTTGATGGGGAATATAAAAAAGGGTATGGTGGGGAAAAAATCACCCCCCTACGGTGTTGTGCTTTACTTTTATCCTTTACCCCTACCTTCCCCTCCCCACCCCACACCACTCTTAGTTCACCCTTTTTAGTTCAAACGTTGACGTCGTCTTTTGCGCACCACTACCACCCCTCCTCCCCCCCTCTTCTCTCTGTGTCCCTTTATCTATCCTCCCTCTTTATATATATATATATATATATATATATATATATATATATATATATGTGTGTATNTGTCCATAGACATCGAGACTATTCCTTCATCAGTATATATGGATTATTACGTTTTCCTATTTTTGTCATATACTCCCTCTTTATATATATATATATATATATATATATATATATATATATATATATGTGTGTATACGTGTGTATATATATATATGTGTATCAAGAGAAATAGTTGTTGCATTTCGTTCTACGATATATTCGAGAATGGAAAAATATTTGTATCTTTTTTTCTTTTTCCTACCATCCCCTTTCCAATCCCCTACTCGTTTTCTTTTTCCACTATATACATCAAAGAAATATGTGAAATATGTTGAAACAAAATAAAATAAAATAAAAAGAAGAAAATATGATGAAAAATCAAACGTGTATTCAAACGATCGTTAAATAGCATTCGAAATCGGAAACAAACAAATCAAAAGGAAAGTTAGAAAAAGAGACAGAACTAACTTCCCTTATAGAAATAGAAAAAGAAAGGAGATAAATAAGATAAAGGTCAAGAATGAATTTCTCGTTTTTCAACTTTTTCTTTTTTTTTTGGAAAGAATCCCATACCAAAGCAAAACCATAGAAAATCGGCAAAGATTACCGTTAAAATGAACACTCGTCGTCTCCTTTGGTCGTGGCAAAAGCCCCCCTCTTCCTTCTCCTTGCCTTCCCCCCTGCTAAGACTCTTTCCCTCCTCCCCCCTCCCCCCCCCCTCTTCAGCTCATCCCACCTCAACCCATATCCCAAAGACCAAAGACTACTTCCCGCGTATACCGTAATTTAATCCTTTAACGAGAGAATCGCACGCCTCATTAGCGATCCCGGATTCTCGTGCGCTTCTGAAAGCATCGACCAACCAACCAACCAACCAACCAACCAACCGACCGCATCATCATCATCATCATCATCATCATCATCATCATCATCATCATCATCATCTTTTTCTTTTATTTTTTTCTTTTTCTTTTCCACATACTCTTCGTTACCAACCCCTCCAACGTTTACCAACTTCTTCTTAAAGATGAGGTACCACTTTCTCAAATGGTTCTCCTATGGTTCCCCATATATTTCCACCCAATCTTTTTTTTTCCTATCCTTTCCTTTCTATGCTGCAAAACATCGAATATTTGTCAATGTTTTGTACAAAAGGAAAATCAGTACATTTTGTTCTCGTTTGTTTTTTAAGCAGCATTTGGATTATTATCTTATTTGATTTTTATAAAATATCGTTTAAAATAAAACAATTGTCGAATTTCAAGAGTTGAGTAAAAAAAGAATTTCAACATTTGCAAAATTTCTTAGTTTGTTTTTTTCTTTTTTTTGTATTTTTAATTCATTTTATCGTAAAAATTCGCAATTCTAGCCCAAAAAAACTCATAATTGGTCGACTGCAGCGACACACCGCGGTGCTCACTTTCAAAATGGTGCCCCACAGTTAACTGGTTAATTAAAAAAAGGAATTAATCTGTACTAAATTGATCTCAAATTTCAAGATTTGCAAAACTACTACTATGTTCATTTTTATATTCTGTTTCATTGAATCCTAAAAATTTGCAATTCTAACCTAAAAAAAAAAAACTCGTAATCGGTCGATTGCAGCGACACACAGCGGTGCTCATATTCAAAATGGTGCCCCACAATTAACTGGTTAATTAAAAAAAGGAATTGATCTGTCCTACAAGAAGACAAACCGAGTGACGGAAGAAGTAAAGAAAAAAATACGAAAAAAAGAAGAAAAAAAAAAGGAAAAGGGTTTGAAAGTTCAGCAGGACACAATCGGATGAACACGCGGGTCAAGTCAAAAAGAAGAAGAAAAAGAAGAAGAAGAAGAATAAGAATAAGAAGAAGAAGAAGAAAGATGAATAGAAGCGTAAACGAGTACGAAGAACGTGGGCGATCTTCGTAAAAGAGTAAAAAGAGAAAGAGAAAGACACAATGTATGAAAGAACGAGAAAGAGAAAGAGATAAACGATACACGATAGAAGAAAGAGGATAGAAAATGGATCGTGAATGATTCCAAGTTAGAAAGAAAGAGATAGAAATATACACAAAGAGAATAAGAAAATGAGAAGTAGTAAAACGAAATAAAAAGAGTGCAAGAGAGAAAGAGAAAGAGATAGATAGATAGAAAATGAGAGAGAGAGAGAGAGAGAGAGGAAGAAAATAGAAAGAGAGTTTGAAAAAGAAAGGAATGAGATAGATAGAAAGAGAAAGAAACACTTCCACACTCTACCGGTGGAAAAATATAACCTGTTGGAACGTAAAAGAGTGAGAAAGATAGAAAGACAGATAGAAAGAGAGAGAGAGAGAGAGAGAGAGAGATAGAAATGCGCGGGCGCACAACGAAGAGAAAGAGAGAGAGAGAGAGAGAGAAAGAGATAATGGACCGAAAAGAAGAGGATGAAAGAGAGATAGATAGAGATAGATATACAGTGAAAGAGAAAGAGAAAGGTTAAGTGAAGATGGTGGGGGAAGATGAAGAGAAAAAGAGACATAACCTCCTCCGTGAGGGACTGCGATGGCAAAAAGGGTGAAAGATAGAATGAGAGAGAAAGATAAAGAACGTGGTGAGCGAGGTCCCGAACCTACCACAACTCTAAACTCAACTTTCGTGACTCCGATTCCGATCGAATCGATTTCTGTCCGATTCGCGTGCAAACTTTTCTAATACAACCCCTTAATTCATAATTTGGTCAATGTATTGTTTTATATATATATACTATAATATATGTTATTTTTTTTCTTTCCTATGATTTCTTTTTTACTGTTACAAACCCCTCCCGCCCCCCGCCCCCCCACCATTTCTACTACCTTCAATTTGAACCAGGAACAAAGTTTTGCACTCACGAATGTTCTCGGGTTTTTTTCTTTCTTTCTTTTTTTTCTTCTAACTTTAGGAATCGTTTTTTTTTTTCTTAATTTATTATTATTATTGTTATTATAATTATTTTTTGTTGCTTTTACGTTTAAAACAATTTCAACTATTACTATACGAATTGTATGTGGTTACTTTTAAATATGTATGTATAAATAATATAAAAACACATATATGCTCATAGTTATGAATGTGTGTGGTGTTTCTAAAATTTTGAAAAAAATTTTCAACTAAATAAATTCAATACAATTGTCACGATAATTGTTATAAATAAACCGTGTTAGATAATATTTGTTATTTCAATATTATATAGTGTTCAAATGTAATTCTTTTAATATCTCGATATAAGACATTACTTTCATAATTATGGGGTACATATATATGTATGCATGTGCATGCACGTATGAATATATGTTTTATATGAATGTATAAATATTTTCATAAGAGTCATGATCTTGACCGTCGTATGCATCAATTATAACAACGAGTTAATTAGAAACAAAACTCGTGAAAGCATTCATGTATTCCAATACAATAAAATAGAAAGAGAGAGAGAGAGAGAGAGAGAGATAGATAAATAGAAATACAAAAGACAGACAGATAGACAGATAGACAAACAGGTTGAAATAGAAAGAAAATTAAAATGTCTAATAAAAAGATAATGTTGATTCTCTTTCTTTCACATATTACACGTAAAACTACTACTCGATCGATGTAGTTCAAATCGAAATACACACACACACATATATATACACACGTGCACATATATATATTAAAAAAGTGTGATCATTTCTCGGATAGAGGATTATGACTATACTGAACTACAAAACTACGATGATATATATATATCTAATTCTCTAATCTCTCTGACTTCTATAACGATCAAGGAGAAAAAAATGAATTCTAAATGATAACACGACTGATGACGATTACGATGTGTTTCTTTGAAAATTATACCAAACGTTTTACGATTATATTTTCTATCAATTGTGCAAAAATAATAATAATAATAATATTAATAATATTATTATTATTATGTTTGAATTAATTTATTAAATATTTATTATTTATTATTTTATATTTTTATTATATATATGGAATAGTTTTTGAAATTATTTTTGTTTTTTTAAATATACAAAATTTGCAAAATTTCCTACACCTCGATCTCGACCTTTCTTTCAAACAAATAAATAT